GGCGTCTCTGCTTCGGGGGACCCGGGCGCATCTTGGTGGAACACTCTCGTTGGTCTTGGCTGATGAGTTTCCCACGGGAAAATAGGCTTGGGTTTCTCATGCGCCGGAGCTGGTCGTTCCTTTGGCACCTCATACCACATACCCTTGGGAGGGCTCGGATATCGTTCGGGAGGGACGAACGGAGCAGGATCGGACGACATCTCGTAATGCGTCTGGGGGAAATTGAGCGCTTCCGGCTGCGAGTCTGACGGCGGCGGTTGTCTGCACTAGAGTTAACACCTCGAAACTTTCAAAAAGGGGTGTTCCAAGTCAACTAACCTTTGAGCATCCCAACTTTGAGCTGGCGGTGGTTGGTACGGCTCAGGCTTAGACTCCGGCTCAGATGGTGCTGGTTGGGCAGTCGATTGTTGGTGCTCTGGGGCCTGCTCTGTTCGAGCCTCAGTCTGCGTCCTTTCCTCGGATTGAAAAGCCACGCTGGGGAGGGAAGGCGGGTGCTCAGAATGCTGGAAATGATTTTCAGGCTGGGGTTCTTGATGGTGGTGGGAATCATGGTGCTTGTCATGGTGTTCATGGTCAAACCCAGAGGTTGCCTCATGATGTTGGCCATGGGGATGCGGATGATGTTTGTGATCACTGTCGTGATGGTGGTGTTGGGGGTGAGCGGGAGGGGGTTGAAAGCCATGATGCACGTGGTGCTGAGCTTCAGGAGCCGCAGGGTAGGGTTGCAGCTGAGGGTATTGCTCGGCGAAGGATGAGACTGCGGGGGCTTGATTTTGCTGACCGTAGGAAGCCCCAGGCTGGCCATTCGGTGGCGGGCCAACTGGAACGACGTAGCTAATAGTGGGTTGATATTCGCCCTTGACGAAGTACCGAACAATCTCAGGGGCTGGGACCGGGGGAATTGGACCAGGGGAGACTTCGGTGGACTTCGGCACGGCCACCTGCTTTACCTGTAGGGTTGGTGACTGTAAATGTTAGAATCGGACCTCACAATTCATACTCGGATCGAAAGTGGCGCACCTGAATGCGGTAGTGGCGGTCGTAAACTGCCCACCACCTGCCGGCTATTTCATCAAACGGCGTGTCTCCCGTACTCTTGTCCCTGCCTTGAAGCCATGGCTTTTCTGAACCGATGAAGTGAACAAGATTGATGCTGGACTGGAAATGCTTGTACGCGGGCACATATTGGTAATGGGCTGAGGGCGTAACGTTGTAGGTGAAGCTGAGGCGGTTGTAGGTGTTCTTGAAGTGCATGTTTAGGAGGCCTTGGTCAGCGCCATCGAAGGAGATACCTCGCTGGGCCATGGCCATCATGGCATAGTAGTCGCCCATGTTGGGGGTCAAGACCATGACGCCAGTGTTGAAGAGATCCGGCCATCCAATATCAGGAGCGGCAGAGAAAGCATGGGGAAGATCAAAGAGCTCGTCGGGCGCTCTGTACGCGACAACATCGGCATCCAAGTAGACAATCTTCTTGAACTGGGTCTGCCTCCACAGATTGATCTTTGTGAAGGCCGAATGCAAGTCGGGTCGGTTCATGAGGAACAGGTTCGCCGGTCGCTCGTTCCGGATTCGAGGGACTGGGATCACATAGTCGTAGACCACTTTCAGTTGCGTTATGACCTCGGCCGAGACGGTATCGAGCGTGACCAAAATGGCCAGCTTCTTCTTGGTGCCGGCATCGCGCAACGAGTGGGCGAGAACGAGTGCGCCTGGACAACGCGAATCAGCGAGGCGGTCCGGTAGAGCCCAATTGGTTCCCAGAACTTACCTGGCAAATATGTATCGGTAAGAAGAAGCTATTCCGGTATGTTTCTCAGCTTCGTTGTCCAATTGGTAGCCTGATGCGGGGTTTGGGAGCCCCAGCGGCGCGGACTCGCAGACACGGACAGACCGCGATCGCTGACGCAACAGGACGCGACTCGACGACAATGACAAAGTATGTGAAATGCTGGCTTACACTGGCGTACACATCCTCCCCCCCTTGCGCTGCAGCCATTGTGCGCAACACTCCTCTTCAATGGCCTCAGGGCGATGTTACAGGTCGGGAAGGTGAGAGGGGGTGGAAGTCGAAAGAGGGGAGCGGAACGGGAGATGGCCTCGGCGGGCTAGCGGGCGCGGATGAAGAGAAAGGGACGGGAATGTCGACTGCAAGGAGGAACCGGGCACGAGCGGAAGGCGAGCAAAAGTTTGAAGCAGGCTACCGGCCGCTGTATCACAGATCGAGAGTGAGCCAAGCAGCTTGCAAAGTGCCTGTCCTTAGACGGACACCCCTGGTAGCGGCGCCGATTTGTTTATCGGGCCGCAGGGGGGCAAGGAGGGGCGAGAGAACTCGCTCGAAGCTCTCGACGCTAGGTTGAATGCTGCGCAACCTGAGAACCCTGCATGCAGCGGATAGGCTAATGATTGCAGAGCCCATAATACGAGCGTTGAAAACACCCGCTACAGGCAAAGCTACCCTGAGCAAGAAGCTCTTCCTACAGCTTGATCGGATACCTCCCTTGCTCGTATTGAACTGACGCCATGATAAGCATGGGTGAAGCTCAAGCAGAACCAGGTTGCCAGGAAAGCGGCGGGACATCAAGGTGATCCCTGCATTCCCTGTCCGTCTGCTCGATGCGCCAAGCATCTAACGCCAACGACCGTTTTTTTATGTTTCATCTGAGGAAAGACTTGCAGCATCTCATCTGCAGCCGCACGCTGTGCGACGGGGGGCCAAATATCCCGCGCCAGACGCGGAATGTCGCGAGAATGCAACCGCGATTCCTCCTCTACTTACGGGTTCAGGAAGTAGTTACATCGAGACGCTCATTGTACGGGAATCAGCCATCCATAAGCAGTCGCGGATGCAAATATCCTGTCGGATAGTCACTTCCGTTACAATGTTTCCCTGCAAGCCACCCGGCGCATTGCATCACCAGCCGGGACTGCGCAGACCTGGTGCACCCGCGCTGTCACGTGCCTCTCACGAGCAGCTCCAGATCCAACCAGCAGCGTCACTCAAATGCTTGTGGATAGAAACCCAAAGTCCTAACATAACACAACATGGAACGCAGCAATCGTTTCTATCCTGCTGCTGCGCTAGTCGACACAATAGCAATCCGCAGAAAGACCGAGAGCGGAGACTTCAGTGAAGTGTGTTGGCTCCATCTTTCAGCTAGCATGATCCCACAGCATCCAAAGTTTGTCATTTGATGTGCTAATTGATGGAGGTCGACGCCGTAAACCGAGCTGACGTTCGATTTCTATTTCCTGGGCAGACCGAGGTCAAGACTAACCTCAAGAGCAGAAACATCACCCATCGAGGCGAACTCTTGCAAACACCGAGACAGATGGACATCTCAGGCGCTCCCCATGTCTATTTCTCCGCTTGCCATATGAGCTCCGCCTTCAGATTTACGAGCTCTTGTTTCTTTTTCCCGGACCGATCGTGATTTCCACACAAAAGCACCACATCGAGCTCCAAAACGTCACAAATGGCACATTTCAAACGCCCAAAGCAGTCCCCGTATCCCAGCGGACCAGGATAGCTGCCAGCTTTCTTCGAACCTGCAAACAGATCGATGCCGAGGGAACTCCCATCCTCTACGCAAGGAACACGTTCCTCGTGGGTCGTGAGCCAAACCTCCTCCTCTTCTCGCGGTGACATCAAATCTTGACCAATGCAGACCGCACTCTGCTTTCCCTGACGTCCAAGCCCAGTGCCTACAACCAACCTTACTACCCTTACAGCCCCACTTCGTTCCAATGCTCAAAATTCTTCCTCTGGCCGCTCCGACGGTCCACTCTTCAACAGATCCGGCCCATAACATTTGCACGTGCTTGTGTTTGCGGCTCATGTAAGCCTGATCTACACGTTCTTCTGTGTCCCAACAAAACATTAGAGGAAAGAAGACCAGCATATTCTAACCAAAACAGGGCTGGCCTCTACCCTCACCACTAACAACGTCCCCTCATGGAAAACGAATGGCAAGGATCTCATCCGCATGATAACCGGTTCTCGGGGAAACCACTTACCAGAACACCTACCGTTATCTCCAAGCGCGCTCAAGAAAGCCTACTTCGTCATTGCCAGGGCCGTTGACGACTCAGATAAGGCAAAGGCATGGAACGCATGGGCGGTATGGGACTGTGGTTGTTGTGCGTATTTTGATGAACCCATCAAGGCTGGGGGAAAGAAGCGATGAAGCTGCGATTTTCGCGGCCTCTGCCGCTGCAATGAGAGGACCACCTGAGCAACGATGGAACTGTGGTTGTCGAGTTGTCACCAAATGGACTCACTTGCTTGGGTCACATCGAGCTCAGCAATCCACGTCTAGATGTATTTAGGCTCGTACGCCATGTGCTGGTTACTGCTGATGTGAAGGAGAAGAAGCGAAGCGTCCGAGAGCCTTGGGGTTCTGTCAGCCAGTGTACAATGGCCCTGGACTGCGAAATTTGTTTCTGAAGCCCAAGTCCCCGACAAAAAAAAACGCATGCCAGAAAGTTTAGCCGAAAGGGCTGTTGATCTGGGATAGGGAGTTTTTGATCCGGGATACAGGGGCTCGTCGGATATTCCAACGCATAAAAAGTAGTCCAGGGGCCCCTTAAATATACTTCCCAGTCCTGGGTTATTTGTAGTCATGCCTGTTGGAAAACATGCCCTACCCACTGATCCTGTTCCAAGCAGCATCAGCCGGATGCAGTGTACAGGCTTTTTTGTCACTAACTGGAAGACTAATAATCGCCGATTTAGTGATTTCGAACGCCCACGCGGGCTGGGAGAGGGGAGGGGAAGGAGGGGGGGGGCGGTGCTCATCGTCCCTTCCTCTTGAAATAAGGGCAACGAGTAACTCTGGATCCCACGGGGCCCGCGCTCTCTCCTTCACCTCCAGCGCTCACACATCAACGCCGTCCAGTATATAATCATTTGATGGTTCAACTGAGCGACGGCAAAGCAAGAAAAAAAGCACAGCAACCCTCGCGTGGATGCTTCAAGAACTCTAAAAAGAATTAGTATCTGATGAGAAGGGGATTCGAACCCCTGCATCTTTCGATACTAGAATACGACCTGCTTTTGCAGGCAAGAACAGAATTCTTGAGTCTAGCGCCTTAACCACTCGGCCATCTCACCTTTTGATGAGAATCAAGTGTGGATTTTTGAGTTTTAAGGATCGGTTGGGTTTGGGTGAGGGTTTGGATGAGGGTTTGGATGAGGGTTTGGATGAGGGTTTGGATGAGGGTTTGGATGAGGGTTTGGTGTGGTGTGGATCTGCAACCCGCTGTGGTGGATCAGGCCTCAGCGCCCCTGAACCCAACATGGAACAACCTTGACGTTCCCATTCACGTGTAGGTACCAGAGTAACGGATCCAAATCAGCGGGAAAGGGGCATGGGTGTTTCATGGGAAAATCAACATTGCGTTATGCTTCGGATGCTATATAGTACAAGTACAAATTCAGCGCACTACGGCCCTGGCTTTCTGTTGGGTATTTCTACGCCCCAATGCGGCCAACCCTGCTAAAAGAAATAAAATTCCCAGCTCTGCTACCCTCTGCAGCCACAATCGGCATCAACAAGCCATCTTCTACTTCCACCAGTCGCTTATATATCCTTCTTGTATGCATGTTCTGGCTTGTGCGTGGTCTCGTAGTCAACGTGGACATATGCCCTCTCCACGTCAGGCAGACTCTCAAGTTTTATTTGCAGCTCCTCAGCCACGTCGTGGGTCTCCAAGAGCGATGCCTCGGGGTCCATGACGATGTCGACCTCGGCAATGAGTCGCGGGCCCGAGTGGTAGACCCGGACAGTGTCGATCTGCTTGACGAGGCTCGAGTGTGTGACGCAGACATAGGTGATGAGCTGCTGGATCTCGACGCCGGCCACGACACCAACCAGCAGCAAGAATTCGGTAAAGGCAGTGCGGAGCCAGATGGCGGTGATGACCACGCTGAGGAAGATGGCACCCGCAGGGTCAAGCCACCAGATTAGCTTTGCGCCACCGACCGAGGTGAGAATACCGAACCCGTTGACGAGGAGGTCGTTACGGTGATCTTGCCAAAGAATTCCCACCTGCGAGTACTTGTCCTTGATGGACCAGGTGTAGAGGAAGAGAGAGAACTTGGTGCCGAAAGCTGCGCAGACAGCGATGACAGAAGGCAGATGGAACGGCTTAAGCTCATCGTGCGCTTCAGCCAAGTCTGCGCAAGCGAACGCAATGATGATGAGTGAGACGGCCGTCATGATAAAGCAAAAGGTAATATTGCCGATGGTTTCGAGTCGTGCCTTGCCAGAGGGGAACCGACGGGGGTCAACGCGCTTGACAGCCCTGTTGGTCAGAATCAAGGTGACGTTGCTCATGGGGTCGAATATAGCATCGGCCATGGTCGTGAACAGAGAGAGAGAGCCGGACGAGATAGCGGCGTATAGTTGAAGCACGGTAAGGAGGATATTGGCGACGAGCGAGCCCCAAACAGCGATCTGGAACTTGAGATGATCATCGCCTTGCTCCTGCCGAGCCTCAGCGCGGTGCTCCTCAACGCTCTTGAGGAATCGCTCGATCGTCTCGTTTTGTGCCGAGTAAAACCTGTGCAGACGGCGCGCTTTGGAGACATTCTTGCCGAATGGTGTGAGATAACGCGCCAGCTTGCTGCTCGTACTGGGCTCGGTTGAGGCGGCCGTAAATGACATTGGCGCGGCATCTCGCTTTCTAGACGTGTTGGCCTTGATCGCTTCGAGCTCTGCCTCCGACTTGTACTTCTGCGCCAACCCGTATGGGTCAGCTTCTGCGTTGCCCAGAGGCAAACGGCCCGCCATTTGGCTCTCTACATCGGTTGGCGTTGTTGCCGCTGAGGTGTGATGCCGCGCGACGGCAGCGTCGTCGCCGCCATCGGTTCTCTCCACGGCGGTGCTGCTGGCTCCTTTCGTGGTCTTGCTTGGTGGCGTAGCCGCGTCGACGTTTTTAGCGGAAGCGGCTGAAGACTGAGCCTGTTCCAATACCCGAGGAAGTTCTGTTGATGGCATTGCGCTCGAGGAATCGGCTTGGGTGCGGAAAGGATGTGGGTGCAGTGAGATGCTGTTGGAAACGTCCGGAGGGTCCATCTCGTCCGCGAGAAAGATATCTCAACCTAAGTACGGGGTTCTAAAGAGTCCGGACGGCGAGTGTGCTGCGTGATTTTCCCGTCAAATTTCAGACCAAACAATTGGGCTGGCGTTTGGTGAAGCTGCAAGATGGGATGGTTGGTGGGCGCTAGTCGTCGTGCTGTCGGTGATAACCACGGAGACGAAGCTGGTTTCTCTGTTGATGGGACCAAGGAGATTCAGGCTGTACGGCCAGATTGCGCGATCAAAGTGGCCAATTTTTATATATATGTAAAACCTCCCAAGGGAAGGAATAAGAAGAGTCTAGAGAAGAGTGAACGGGTAGCGTCGCGCACAGCTTGCGCACAGCACGAGGTTAAAACGGCTGGGCCAGCTTCGAGACAATTTTCTGCAGCTAGCACCCCTGAGCGGGAGGTGACCCCGCGTCGAGGGGGTAATTGACGTTGGGGTTGCTCTGGAACATGGGTGGATGGCCCAGAGCAACGATTGGCGACATTAGGTATATCCGTGTCCAGGCCGGGTTGTGCGCCCAAAAAGCGCTGCAACATAGACCTTGGCCAACGGGGTTGGCGGTGGCGAAGCCCAACTCCAAGAGCTTGGAAGCTATCCTTTCGTCGCATCATGGTGTTCTTCTCGCGGTACCGGGGTTGGGGCGTTTCGTGCTTCATCCGACCGTTTCTTGGGACAACCCCAAAGCTCCACCTCTACAGCTTGGCGTCGCCAACGGAGGAAGAATGTGACGGCTGACAGCGGGATTGGGAGGGCCCCAAGCACGGAGCACCTCTTGGCAACATCGGCAGCAGTTTTAAGCGGCTTGGGCGAGCAGCAAAAGTCTTCAATGGGGGAAAGAATTCGCGGGGTCTAAAAGCCGAGATCTTGACGCCACGGAACTGCCGGTTCGGCGTAGGTGCTTTTATATCCCGAGCCCGGCACAGGACGGGTCTTGTTTCTCGGGCACATTCGGACCTTAAAGATTGTCTCAGCCCTCTTGGTCGACTCAATACCGAATCATCGGGACGAACTGGAAACAACCGCTTTCGTATTGACTTATCGATATTAATGGCCTTGACATGAAGCTGAAACGCCGACGAGATCAAGAAAAAAAAAAAACAGCCCCATGCTCGCACAATATATATCAACAACTTCTTCCACCCATCAAAGCTTTGCCTCTGTGCGTCCGGCTTCTTCCCCAACCCTCTTCAGGATCCAATCTGACACATCTTGGAAAAACTCCTCCGTCTCTGGCCCATCGTTATGCAGCTGATGATACCAGCCCTCGTAGGACTTGAATGACTTGTCTGCCACAGCACCCAGGAACTGCTCAAAGTACTTTTTGCTGGCATGGTAGGAAGTCGCCTTGTCCTTGGTGCCATGCCCAATCCATAGGCTCTTTACTGCATCTCCCTCAGGTCTCACCGAGCCGCTTTCTAGCGCCGTCGTCCGATCGAGCAACCCCGCCAACCCCTCGAGCGTGCCGGTGTCGTGCATCAGCTTGTCTTCGGTAATGCTCTTTACAATCGCCGGGTCCCGTGTCAAGTCCTCAGGCGGCAATTTGTTCAGCATCTGCCGATGCGGCAGCAACCGGCCCACCAGGCGTGCCCCGAAGATTTTCAGGGCGCTCGGCGCCGCCTCGGGCGGGAACCCGATAAACGGGGCCTCCAACAGCCATCCCCGGACGTGGCACACCACGTCTTTCTGGTACGTGTCGTCCGACAGGAAGGTCAGGACTTCACCGCCGCCCATGGAGTGGCCCATGACAAAGATCGGGGGGTCAGTCGAGGACTTGGGTAAATGTAGCTCGATAAAGGCGGCGATATCAGCGAGGACGCGCGACGTAGGGCCGGTTAGGCCCTTCTCTGCTGGCTTAGTGACGCTGCGACCCCATCCGCGCTGGTCGAAGCCATGGACGGCAATGCCGCGGGCGGCGAGCCAGTTGAAGAAGGGATTGTAGCGGTTGACGTGGTCGCTATATCCGTGGACGAAAACGAGAGTTGCTTTGGTGGCACCGTCGGGCTAAACGGGGCGAGGTGAGTATGTGCTTTATGGTGACGGAGAGGGACGAGAGAGTGTCAGCAGTGAAACGTACCAGCCATGACTTCGTGTACAGCGATTTCCCGTCCGCCACAAACGTGGCCTCCTGCTCGATTGCCATCGTGCTTGTGTCGCGATAAGCAATTGCAGACTACGTGATTCCGTTTGCTGCGATTACTGCGATTATAAATCGATAGGAAGAAGGGACGTTGAAATAAAGAGGATGGAGGTTGGATGCTAAGTTGCTGGCTTGGTTTGTTTCAAGCACGTGAAGCGCCCACATGCGCCTCTCGGATTCAGCTACAGCTGTCGCCCTGACATCCGTTCATGCACAACAAGAGACAGGACTGATGGCATATCACATACACGGTCTCAATTTGTGATATCAATCAATGCTCAAATTTTCACATGAAGAGAATAAACACTATTAGGTTCCGAGAAAAGTATATCCTACCACACCAAACTAATCCGACTCGCTTTACGCCAATGCCAAATGGCCGATTTCCTATCAGATCCCATGTTGAGAAAGCCACCCCGTGGGCTCTGGGCTCAATCCTAAATGATGCCTCACCTGAGACACCAACATCCAGCAGAGATTTCCGCGAGATCCGAGCCCATCCCTAATCAAGTTACCGTTTTCTCTGTCGTAGCATCGTTCCGTCATCCCGTCATGACATGAAGCCCAACGTGGTATACCGCACCAAACTCCTTTGAGATCCTAATAAAACAGACCGAGAAACGTTGTAAGCAAGATGCCTAAAGAACAGACATGCTGGGCTCAGAGATCTGCAAGCTCAGTGCCGACGAATAGGTGTTGATCGGATGGCGTGAAAGTAAACTTCTCCCCTGGCAAGTCTTCGTCGGGCGTCCTGATGCCAATCCCACTATCGTCAGGGTTTGACGGCTGATTGCTTGTTGGCGCCACGGGCGGGAATGGGGCCCGGTCTGGCTGTGACCCTGACATACGAGACAAGTTGAAGTCGTCGCTAGCACTGCTGTAACG